TGTCCCCCCTGTCCGTCACCAATTGCTTCTGCCCACTTAGCAGGGGTCCTATTCCTCCCTGGGCCTTCCTTTTACTCCCTATATATCTAAAAAACAATTTTTTGTTATCCTTTACTTGGGATGCCATCCTCAGCTCCGTGGTAGCTTTGGCCCGTCTAACTGCCTCCCTACAAGTGCGAGCAGAGGAGGTATACTCCTCTTTGGTAATCTCTCCCCGTTTCCACTTTCTATATGCTCCCCTTTTAGTTCGCAGGCTGCCCTGGATTTCTCTGGTCAGCCTGGGAAGCCTCCTGGCCCCTTTCCGTCTTTTTCCTCGCATCGGCATTGTCTCCGTATGTGCTGGAAGGATCATTTCCTTAAGGCACAGCCACCCTTCCTGGGCTCCCATCTCTTCAAAACTCCTACTCTGCAGTGCGTCCTTGACTAATCGCCTGAGTTCATTGAAATCAGCTTTCCTAAAGTCTAGCACTTTCACCCTACTAGTTACCTTACCCACTCGACATCTTATGATGAATTCTATTATTTGATACCCAGTAGGACCAGGCAGGGATTAGGTGATGGAAATGGGAGGACACCAGGGCTGCTCCTGCCTCACTCTAGCTGGGGATTGTGGGAGCAGCTGCATGGAGTGCCAGGCTCTGGTGGGAACAGCAGTAGCTGGTGGGTGGGTCCCCACTTCCAGTGCCTGCCCCCAAAGGGGTGCTGGATACTGGTATAAAATAGGAGGACAGAGGAGTCAGTCAGGCAGAGATCGGGTATGGCTTTGCTGTAACTATCAGATACCCTTGAAAAGTCCCACAGTGGACAGGGGCTCTTGCAGTCAGGGTGCATTTGAGGACAACCTGTGCAAAGCTGAGTCCAGCCTGCAGAGGGTTGGTGAAAGGGTTGTCCTCAAACGTATGGTGAAAGACCTGTCCCACTTGCGTTCTCCCAGGTCTTGCTTCCTTCTCTCTGGGAGTTACAGAGTGAGCACATCTGTCACTCTTTGGTACATGGGAACAGAGAGAGGCTCTCAAGGGAATTCTTAAGTAGTTCATCCAAGAGAGAAAATGAGTAAACTGTGACCACTGTGTTCCTTACCTCCCGAGAGTTTGACATCAGTGTTCATATCTTGGGTCGGGGGTTGGGTCTCTTTGCAGCTGGTGCCTAAGTTCTGCGAGAATCTCCATGAGATGGTGCTGAGAGAAGGCACCTCATCCCTGAACAGTGGGAACCTGAGCCTGCAAATGTCCACCTCTTTCAACAGCCTGTATGCCTTCCTCGAGCAATTCAGCATGCAAATCGAGTGAGCCCCCTCTCCTCCTAAAGTGCCTTCTGGGGGGCGAGTAACAGCTGCTCTCATTCCATGCCTGAGCCTCTGCGTGACTGGACTACATTTGAAAATACTCCACCCCACCTCCCTGCTATTGGTGTGGGGCTTTAGGATCCCATCTGGAAACATGGGCTAGATGAGGTGAGGTCCTGTAATAAATGAATGATGCAGTTGAGATCAGTGGGCTCAGCCGCTGTAGAACAGTCATGCATGTGTAACTATGACACATGATTGCTCACTAAGGTCTTGCTTCCTCTTTTCTCATTAAAGGAGCCTGGATCACTTCAGCTCTCTTAATAGAAGAGAGTCAGTCTTATATCTGTTAATTTTTCTAGCCCAGCCTTTAGAAAAATCACATCCTTTGATGACCCAAGTGCATTTAAAAAAAAAAGTGGGGAGGGGTTAGAAATGGGGGGAAGCAGGTCTTCCCAAAACTACATACCAAGAGACCTTGAAATAGTGAATGAAATCTTGACCTTATTGCTTTTAATTGGAGGGAGGGAGAGGCGGGTAGGTTGCTATCTATGGCTATAAAGGTCAGGATTTCAGCTGCCCGTTTTGGCAGTATGTCAAGAATGAAGAGCATATTTTTTTTTATAAAACAGGCCTCCATGTAGCTTTTTAAATTCTCTTTACTGTTTAGGTTGTACAAGTAAATCTTGGTTTTGTTTAGCTTCCTTTTGTTAACACAGGCCTTTGCATTGCACCACAAGGTATGCAGGGCTTTCCTAAGGGATCCTTCTGGGAAGGAGGGGGCCAGCTTGGGCCTCTGTTGGAGGCAACTGATTTTCCAGAAAGGTTGTATATCTGCCTCTTTGAAGCCAGGCCTTTTTGAGGGTTCAAGCTGGCACACAAAACAACTAGCAAACCGGAATAGCTTCTGGGTTTCTGTTCAGTGGTTGAATTAAGGGACCCATATCTGCATGGTCAGAAGCCTCTGGCTTGAGAGCTGTGCTGTCCCTTCCTTTATATTCCTGTACATTCCTTAATGGGCTAGAGGTCTTAGCTCAGCCCCTGAGCTATTGGCCTCAGCCTTCCTCTTGTCTGACTGGGACACCAGAGCTGCTCTTTTCCAGCTGGCTAGGAATGGATCCCATTTCTACACCAACTGCTGCTGTTACCCATCTTGTTCCAGTTAGGAATACAAAAAAGCTCCTGGGGTGGGGAGAGAATCTGATCTGTTTAGAGTCCATGACAAATGGAAAAACAATTAGCCCTAAAGCTTGCAAAGCACCTTGGAAATTGGGCTGCTTGCCTCAAAAGTAGGAAGAAGAGATGGAAAGGGACAGCTACAGGGGAAAGTGGGAGAGGAACAGGTGAGCTGAGCAAGGTTGACAGCAGCTTCTTACCTCATTGGCCACATGCATCAACTCTTCTGGAAAAGCAGCAGCTCTTCTGTCTCTGGGCGGAGGATCTTCTAGGAGCGGGTATTCACGACTCAAATGTTTAATGGGTCGTTTCAGGTTTTTTTGATGATGTCCTATTTCATGACACGATACAGCCATGTGGTCCTTCCAGTCCCTGCAGCCCAGCCAATGCTTTTATTGGGAGATGACTGCTTACCTAAGCTGCAGGTAGTTTTCACCCTGATGGGTTGTAACTCTATTAATAATCTAGAGAGATTTAGTGAGAGAGGCAGCCAGTGACACTCCAGGTCCTCTGAATTTGGCTTGGGAGGTTTGCAATGGCTGTAGGTAACAGATATAAGCAAGTCTAGACCCCACAGTCACTGGTGTCCCTGTTCCAAATATGTTCTACAGCAATTTTTTCTATCTGAACAAAAGGCCCTAGCTATATTGCAGATCCTGCCTCAACTCCATGCATATTAGTGTTAACCTGTCCATACAGGCCACATTGCACAGCCACGTTTGCATCAGTCCAGCACGAGGAGCTCTTCTACTCTGGTGCAGAATTTCTACTCTGGTGCAAAGCAATGTTGTCCTTATTTGCAGAGATGGGAGGTAAAACAGTCTCCCTACTGCAAACATGGTTTAGAAACTCATTTTTTGCACAGAGAGGGGCTGTGGGATTGTCAAATCTCAGTGCAACTACATGGTTGTTGACAACCATCTATACGGACATGAACTGTGCAGCGGAGACTGCTGTATTTTAGTCTGTAGTGGGGACAGGCTGTTAGCTGTCAGCATGAAATGCCAGCATGGTTTGATGTGAAGCAGCAGGGTCTATTTAGCTAAATTCACTTTGTAAGCTATCTAGTTAGAAAGCACCTAAATTACTTGAGCACCTTCAATATCCTAAACAGAGGGAGTTTCTTTTTTGTACCCAATTTGGAGTATGAGTTACACCTCTATTATCCTTCTGTTAAGATCTGGGCCAGGGACTGGAAGAAATACAAGGACACTAAAAGCACCAGCTTTTTTGTGGCGAGGCCATCAGACCCCATGGCTCAGCATCTGCACTACACCATGAGGTGCTAAATCAATATTGTGTTATAAATACAAAGTTTGGTACTGTACTTTTATAAATTTGTTTTAGTTATTGCTTTCTCCCATACACTTGAATAAAAGGCCTTCTTCAACTGGTTCCAACTGACATAGCCCCATGGAGATCAAGGGAGGCTTATATTATCTACGGAAGTGGCCTTTGATGATGTTAATCAGGAAGTGGCTAATAGTCACTGAAGGCCTAGTCCAGATTCTGCATGAGTCTGAGTAGTCTCAGCTGCTAACTGACATCAGAATTGGGTCTCAAGGAAAAAAAAAGACCAGCATCAAGTTGGCAGACCTAGAACTCATGGCTCTCTCTGAGGGGGACAATAGTGAACATCAGGAATCAATTGAAGAAACATGGCCTCAATCCAAAGTCCAGCATAAACCATTTCAAGGGACTCTCTTGGCTTTGGATCCATCATACGATGCTGAAGGCATCACACATTTGACAGCCTGTTGATGATGTCTAATGAGGGAGAATCATTGCAATAGCACACTTGGTGTGCTAGTTTTTGTACATAGTTTTAATTTATACCTGAGGGGTTTTTTCCCCCACCTTGTATCTATTCTGCATAGAGCAAACCTCTCCTGTACATCAGCTGCTGACATGGGGGGGGAATTATTTTAGCATTGCTTTTTCTGCCATATTGACAGCATAGCTAAACATGTGCATTTTTTCCATGCGTTTGTGTAAATAAAATGACATGTCTGTAATCCTGCTATGGGTGGAAAGTGTTTATTGCAAAATCAGCTTTGACATGCACTTTAAACAGGCAGACATCTTGCAGAACAAGGTGCATGAGACATGGTCCCGAATGAACCAAGGGCTTTGACTACAGGGCAGTCTTCTCCCCATGCAGTCTTTCCTTGGCTGGCCCAATTATTCATCCAAGATGTTCTGAAATAAGAAAAAGAGTAAGTAACTGCAGTTTCATCTTCAGTGGCTAAAAAAGCAGACAAGCAGCAGAGCACTGACCTGAATCTTAACAAGCCCCAAAAGTTGAGGGCTATTTGGGTCTGGTAGGTAAGCTGTGGGGTGGGGCTCTGGAGCAGTAAGAGCCACCAACTTGTCAGACCACCAGCCCCACAGCAAGGGTGGAGAAAGGTGCTGCATTGCTTTGTGGTGCCGGCCTCCATTAACTCCCCTGGGCTGTGGTAGCCTCTACCCAGCAGGGTGGTTACCACATGCTGGGAGCACAGCCATCCAAAATACCATTTGTAGAACGCTGTTGCTCCAGGGTTTAGCCACTTCAAAGCGCCACCAGAGGCAACGTTTACATTATGGCAGGCATGCTCCCTCATGTTGATGCAGCTCTACCAATGCAAGTCATTTTTCAGCTGGTGCTGCCATGCCAGTTCCCCCAAGAGGAAGAACCAGGTTCCTGTCAGAGCTGTGTCCACAATCAGGAGCTTTGCTGGCCTAGATGCATCAACTCCAGGGCATGATGCTTTCACACCCCACAACATAGCTATGCCAGCTACTCTGTGACGTAGACAAGACCCAAGTCACAGGCATCTATGTGCAGCAGTAAGTTCTTGGAGCATGATTCCCCTGTAAACACATCACACACACACACACACACACGTGGTTCCCCATGAGGGATGACGACTTCCTGAGAGGGTTTATGAGGAATGGCTTCCAAGGGCACAAACTTATGGGTCTACCATTATTTTTAAAAGCATCTAAAAAAGCCCAGGCTTCAAGGCTTTTTTAGATACATGAAGAGTGAGATTTTCATAACCCACTAGAGAATTTAGGTGCTTAACTCTCCCTTTAATATTTTTTAAACCTAATCAAGATGCTTGCATCTAGGAATAGCACTGAGATACTTATATAGAAGAGTGCCAGAGTATATTCTTTAAATCAGTAAGGATTATATAAATATAGAGAGGCCACAGAGATGTTTGACAGCTGGCACCCCAAATTAAATTCTTCAGCCTGTACTGTGCAGGCCGAGCTAGGCCAATTTAACAGTCCACATGAGGCTTAAAACATGTATTGGGGTGTTTGACCTATAGGCTAAAATGGGCATTTTACAGAACTTGGGCAGGGAAAGGGAGGCCAGGCAGAAAGGGACTTTTCTATTTAATGACCTGACCTAACTCCCATTAAAATCACTGGGAAGACTTAGCCTATCCTTTGTCATCCAAGTGCATCACGAGTGTTAACCCAGTTCAGCGTTCCTGGAAGGCAGAAAAGTGCTATTCACTCCATATTCCAGACGGAGAACTCAGCAGAGACCAAGGCTGAAGTCTTGTAAAGACCATTACAGGCCCTGCTCCCAATAAAGAGTCTGAACACCTCAAGCGATGTAGGTCTCAGCAACTTGCCTCAGGTCAGGCAAGGAATCCAAGTCCTAGACCAGGGCCTTAACTACCAGATCATCATCCATTTCACTGGGGATACACCAGGAGCTGTATCAGGTTGCATTAAGTAGGTACCCAAAGCACAAAAACAACGGAAGCCAAAACCCAAGGAGCAGGGCACCCCACACCAAACTGCAGCCACATTACCTGGCGACTGACGTGGACATTGCTGGGGCCAAAGGTTGTCGTTCCATAGCTCGTGACATAGTAGTGGGCAGCAGGCTGAGCAGGGGGAGCTTCCACGTCACTCAAAACTGAAAGGGAAGACAGAGAGGTATCAGTCTACCCCAGCAGTACATAGGCTGAAAGACCCCCATGGTTACTCTGCCATAGTGGAATCTACTTCCCTACATACATCCCTCACCCACTGCCAGTATGAAGTAGGGGAGGGATGTACTTGGCCAATATACGAAGCCACTCAGGATGGGGGCAGAATGGCAGCTGGCATGAGTTGTCAGCACTCTCTTCACCTGGATGGAGCAATGACTGTTGACCCCAGCTGTGCATCTGTCCCCAAAGCATATCAGCGATTAAGCAGGGACACAGTTAAGCCAAGTGGGGCCCAGTGTTGATACCTAAAAACAGAGAATGGCTGCAAAAGATTCTTAGGAAAATTTGTGCTTTGTTAGAAACAAACACTAGAAACAAGGAACCTGTTTATTAGGGTTGAGCTAGAGGGCACCACATCACCCACCCCTTTCTGCCTTCATATGCATGCTTATCTGTACCAGGTGAGATTAATCTGAGTTGGGACAGAAGTGGGTAAGAATTCAGATGTCCCAGCTCTGACATCCTAGTTTGGATATGCTTATCAGCATTATTTGCCCCCAACTGAGATCAGCAGTGTCACAGTCTCTGCCCCGAAAAATCTCAAACCCCACCTGGATCTGACTTTGCCTTAGCATCCCTGATGAACAGATGAGGCAATGCAGCACTGAGATGAGTGAATGATGTGCCCAGGGGCATGCAGGAGGTCATTCATTTGTTCATTCTCTCTCCTTCTCTGGCAGGATGCTGCAGCCAGCTGGCATCTTACCTTTGGGTAAAAGCAGCTCTGTCCGAAACTGATGGCTACATGTTCCACAAGTTTTAATGTCCTCCTTGGTCCTTTAAAGACAGACGAAAGACTACAGTAGACAAAACCTCACAACACACCTTTCCAGCCCTGAAAAGTCTACTCAATATGGAATCAAAGTTTTTTTTTGCCAGATTGTGCTTTCTGAAGTATTACAGAGAAAACCTATAAGAGCAAACATTACCAATGTGCTGGCACTAGGGCGTCTAACAGGATTCATTCCCAGCCCTGCCATAGACCTCCCGAATGACCTCTGCCAAATCACTTAACACAAAGGTTGCATACCTGTAAGCCAAGTGTTTGACATGAGCCTCTGCATGTTCCCTCTTATCATATCAAAATATGAGCTGGTGGTAGTACAGAAGAGGGAATGTACCAAAGCCACCTAAAGAAGGCCCACCATTTACAGACCCATATTTAAGGTGCTGTTTTTCAAAGGGCTACCTTCTATTCCCAGCAAAGTCACCCCTGATTTTCACAAATCCCAACGATGAGCCATAGCTGGGTACCTGAGCAAAATGTGTAGCTTTTCAGAAGTACTCAGAGCTCCCCAGTGAAGCCAATAAGCCTATAGAGGGGCTTGAGGAGTTTCTAGAAAGGGAAGGCTAACACCTAATGTTAGGCATCAAAACCTGGGCAACATGATCTGAGAGGGGTGAAGGCCAACATCCTTCATCTGTAAAGTTGGCTATGATCTGCCTCAAAATGGAGCAAGGGCTTTCACCTTTATAACTTGTCTTGGGATACTCAGGTGACAACACGTATCATCAAACTGAATATTTATAACCAGTTTCACCTGCTGTTTTTAAAAAACAGACCATTGCCTTTTGCCATGTGAAGATGCTCAGAGACCTCTTGGATCCCAACATCCACTTCGCAAGGAAGACAGGGTTACCAAAAATTATCAAGTTACAGAGTGTACGTACACTGTGGACTTGCCATCCAGGTCCGGCCAAACAAACTCTGCAGGACACACCGCAGTGCGACAAGGTGTTTTCAAGCATATATGGAGCCCAGGCCACTCATCCGAGAGCTTCCGGATGATGGAGACGATCGCCATGACTAAGTCCCATGTAATCCGGAATTCTTTGGGGATGAACAAAGAGGGAAAGAACCAGCTGCTGGTGACCATCTCAGTAACCCAGCTGGGGCTGACCAAGACTAAGAATTGGAATCACTTGACTGCAGCTTGATCATGCAGGATTATAGGCAAACAGTTATGCCAACTGGGTTTAGGCCCAACATCCTTGAGAAGCAAGAAATGAATTGGGTAAAGCAAAAAGTTTTCAAAGCCTACGTTGTGCCTCTTTCTTATTTGTTATTTCTTGTAGTGTGGATGAACCTAAGAGCCTCAGCTGTGGACTAAGGGTAGGTCTACACTGCTCTTCAAGGAAGGCTGCTCTCAAGCACACACTGCCTACCCACTCCCTTCCAGGAGCTGTTCCTCCCTCTCCCCACCAGATGCACTCTTGTATGCCAAACACAAAACTTGCGAACCACCATGGAGTGCTTCAGAATTGGCTTCACTGCCACTCCAAGGCACTTTCCAGGTTAGGTGTATGCGAGCAGATGTCTGTGCACAGCTCAGTGCTGGGGACAGTGTGTGGATATATTCTACAGTACTCTATGGTGTCCCTATGCCAGGCTTGTTGAGAGTTCCTAAAATATTTTCTCACTGAAATTTTGACCCATCTTAGCCAGTTCTATGATGGACTCTGTCCGAGTCCACAGTTTTTTCATTAAAAAAATCTGTTGGGACCCCAATTTCATTAAGATCTATTGAGTGTGAACCTTTCAGCTGAAAGTCTGATTAATTAGATCTTCTCCCAGATTACAGAGTTGCTTCAACAGCCCAAGCCAGCCTTGGGGAAGCAGACTGTTCCCTGTGTTGTGGGGACCTCCATTGGGTCTTCAGCACGTGTAGCACCACCCATCCTTGGTTAACTCTAGGGACAGGACATAGGGGTTGTGCTACAGATGTACTGCTCGTGCACTGAAGTCCTCCAGTATCCAAACACACTGACTTGTTTCCTAAGTTGATCAGCAGCAGATGGAAACTCCTCCCTCCTTTCCAGGAAACATGCTCAACAGAGAAGTCAGTAATAAGGCTTCTAGTCTTACCTATCCTTTCTGCCGGCTTTCTGCAGCGGAGTTCAATATAACTGTATCCCTTCTGGTTGTTCTCTTTGATCAACAAAGGCTTGCCACTGCACACAAGCAGGCACATCATCTTTGCGACCCAGTGGGCGGAATAGAAGGAGCAAGCTTTCACCATGAGTCTGCAGTGGAAATGCAGAGACATTAGTCTGTAGATGGTGACCCTGCCACATACTGCCCTCCCCTCATCTTTGGTATCATGAAGCCATTTTAAATTCTACAAATTGCCAATCCTGCTTAGGACAAAAGCACAGGGGAAAAAATTAAGGGTCTTTCATATTAAAAGTATAAGCTCTTATCAAGTAAGCTCAAGGGCAGAGTCCCATGGCCAACAACTGTAGCAAACTCATGTAGGGCTGACCTAGCATGGGTTATGGACACAGCTGGTGTATTTGTCTGTCATATTATTCTATCTCCAAGAAGAGCCAGCAATCATAAGTCTCTTTCTGAAGTTAAGAGCTGTCCCCCTGCATTGACCAGCCTGTGTGCTTAGTACAAGTTAAGCAGCCAACCGTCTCAGGGACAAACCCCAATATTACTACTATAAATTCACACATGCACCTTAAGGTCTCTCTCCCTCCTCCTCTCATGCATTTGAGGCAACACCACTCACCTGAAAGCTAAGGAGACAAGATGTGCCTGTTTGTTATAAATCTGTGTCATGCACACAGATAGTCTTTAGAATGGATCATTTCTGCCACTGATTTATTGGAATGGGGAAGGAAATGCATTGGGGCTCCCAGATGAGGAGGGGCTGGCTTCCCCCAACAGCAAGCCCTCTAATACTCTAAAAGCAAATGAATGTTTATCAGCCCATCAGACATCCCTCAGAGTACCAAGCCATCCCATATCCTGACTGGATGGGTGAAGCTTACAATGGGAAGACTCCAGCTCCAAGACACCCCTGACAAGAGGAGCCTCATTTTACAATGGGATGTATCTTTTTGTCCACAAAGGTTTGGAGATAAGCAATCTTTCAGAGGACAAACTCGACTGCGGTGCAGGAGCTCAGCATTTCCCTGCATTGTTGACTCCACAGCCTTCAGCACTAGCCTCTGTAGTAAGCAGGCACTAGGCAGATGGCCAAGCTTCTGGATTTGTTGTTTCACTGTGCTAAATGTGCAAATCACAGCCATCAGGATCAAGAGGATGGCTCCTGTGAGAACCAGGTTCTCCAAGGGACATCACTCAGTCAATGACAACCCTTTGTGAAAGGCAATAAGTTTACTAGTAGGTTTACCAGAGTTTGTCCCATCTTTCAGGTTTCTTCTTGCATCCTACTTTCCTCTATTGCACTTGATTTTTCTTAAAAAGACATTTAAGTGCAGGCTCAGCCTCTGAGGATACCCAAGTCCTCTAACCACAGATCAGGTAGAGGCAAGGAAGCATCCCAACGTCACCCCACTGAGTCTCAAACCCAGCCCTGACTGGAAGGGTGCACCTCCTTTGGTTGCAAGGGGAGTCCAGCCTTCAACCCATAGCACTCTGTGATCATCTGCTAGTACTTGTGCCTGCTCTTAAAGCACTAGCCATGGAGGTGGGATTTATGATGGGCACATCTACAAATTGGGAATTGGCCAAAACTTCTGATGTAGGTAAATTGAGGGCAGGTGTTGTGGGGAGGGGAGATAGGGGGGAATTCATGTGAAAAAAGGTAATAGCTGCTACCTACATGGACTGGATATGGGTCAACATGCTAGAAGCGAAGGGCTCCTAACCTTGCTTCTGCCTCTAAGGATTTAATGTGCTTATTGCACTTCATCCCATACTACTTCCCTATCGTTGCTTTTTTCTTTGCTCTCCTGAGCATTAATAGCCAGCTTAGCAGAACTAGGAAGATGGGAGACCTGTGCTCCAGAAAACCAGGATCCCATGACAGAACTCCCCATACTGGCCAAAGGCATTGCATAGATTCAGGAAAAAACAAGGCCATCATGAGGTCCCCAAAACAAGCAACAATTTACCTACACGGTGATGAACAGAAATCATAGCAACTGACTCTCTGAGCTACTGAACTGATCACATTCCCCATTACTGATCACCTGTGTTACAATAGCACCTACACCCCACAGCCGAGACACACCAGCATGCTCAGTAGGTAGAGTTCCTGCTACAAACCAACCCCAAATAGACAACAGACATTTTACAGACAGAAAACAGAGGCACCCAGAGATTAAACAATTTATCTAGGGTTGCCCAGAGTTCATGGCACAGTTGGGAAGTGAACCCCAATCTCTCAAGTGCCGGTCTAGTGTTAACTCCAAGAGCAACCTTCCTTTCGGTTATGGTGAATGGCTTTTGCTTTTAGTCATGCTAATTCAGTCTTTACTCCCAGACAGTCAAGAAGGCATGACCATAGCCCTGAGAGACTTGCACTTCAGGATAGGCAGACAGGCCACGGCACATGTCCATCATGAAGAGCCACTCCTTACCTTTGGAAAAAGCTCTCTGGGACTTCAGGTGAGAAGTAGGCCCGTAGGTGGAGATCTTCTGCATGATCTCCTCCCCACACCTCAGAAACGTCCTTGCTGTGGTTGAGATACATAGGAAACAAGTAACAGGCCTCACTGTGGCCCTGTGTCACTTCCCACGGCTTCCCAGGCACAAACTCCCTGGCTGCTGGGTTGAGCTTCTCGGTGTTCCTCACCTCCAGGCAGATCTCAAAGTGCTCCAGGAGGCTGAACAGCTTCCCTTTCTGGGACTTGCGCCCCATCATCTCCTCAAAGACATCCTCCATCCCTTCCAAGGGGAGCTGGTGCTTGACTAAGGCACGCATGGCCTGCTGGCACAGCATAGCCTTTGACTTGAATGTCCATACCCAGTTGGATTGGTCCCTGATGGTTGCGTGTTCCCCCACCAGTGTGTCCACCGAGATGCTCTCTAGCTGCTGCACAAGGTGATACCTAACAAGGATCTGGACGGGAAAGAAATTAATTCCTTGGTGCTTGAGCCATCACAGCAGCTGCCACTTGCGCATAATTGCCTCTTCCATAATTCTATGCACCCCCCACCCCATCCCTGTGGATTCATTCATAATTGGGTGAGGTTTGGAAACAAATCTCCACCACCCCCATGAGGCAGGTGAAAGCACTCTCATCCCACTTCTACACATGGGAACCTGAGGGACAGAACAGACAGCAACTTGCTCAAGCTCAAACCAGGTGTCTGTGGAGAAGTAAGGAATTGAATCCATCTCTCCCCAAGTCTCAGACCAGAAACCTGTACGCTGGGCCATCCTTTCCTCCTGGCATCCTCCTCCCCACAACTACCTCCATCCCAGCTGACACCCAGCTTCTCCCAGGAAACAGAGCCATATCTACCAAGCCTGCACTAGTAAGATGGAAACAAGGGCTTGACCAAGGTTGGACTGAGGTTGTACAAAGGATATTAAAAGAAAGTTGAGAGGGGATCCTAGCCCTAGGAATTCATTTAAGCCTATGATATATATAGGTCCATTTATCAGATGGCTCCAAGAAGCTGTAGATGGCTGTCCAGACAGATCAGTAGTGGCTGAAAGCTATCCATATCTCCTGGCTGTATGAAGAGACATTGGCACACTCAGTCTAATTCCTAGTAGACTGGTGTCCACCTCACAATGCTTAGAGCAGGAGACTGAAATTTAATTCCCGGCTGTGACACTGGTTACAGCACATACCTGGAAAAGTCATTTTGCTTCTGCTTTTCCTGTCCATAAAATGGGAATAGTACTGACCTCTCCCACCTGACCCTCATACTTTGCAAACAGTCCTTTATGCACTTTGAGACAGCCTGCTTACATGCTGCATAAGTGCAAGATTTCCGAGGCAAGCCTCTGAGGTAAATTGAGACGCATCTATGCTGCAGTCACCGAAGGTCAGAGTTCACCGTACACCCAAGATAGATCTCAACTTCTTGGCAGTGTAGCCCACAGCACTACAGAACTCAGCACAGGCTGAAAACACACCCAAAAAGATGAGTAAATACTTAAGTGGGTTTTTGCAGCCCATGCCAAGCTCCACATACTACAGGTGGTACCCAAACTAGCTAGTTTAAAGCTAGTGCTTTAATAGCAGCAGTGGCTGCAATGTTGACATACTGACAAGATGTATCCCAAGAGTTAAATTATTATCCTCAAGGTTTCTTCACTCCATAAGGACCTTGTGTGTTTTACTGTATGCCACTGTCCATGCACAAGGCCAGTTCTCAGAGTAACAGCCTGGCATGGAGGGAGAGTCCCATTGATCCCCACTGCTCACCTTGAACATGGTTATCAGAAAGGCTGGCCGGAGGAAGACCATGCTTTCCATCTGCTTGACTTCCTCATACCATATGATCAGTCCAATGTGGTGGAGGTACCTCAGGACGTCTTGGAGAAGTTCTCTGCCAAGGCCGGTCAGGTTCTCTCTCTGGGCAAGTTCACTGAGTAAGAGATTGAGGTCCATCATGCCTTGAGGGGGAAAAAAGGGGTACATGGAAACTTAGAACAGCATTTCAAACAGCTCCCAAATGCCAGCAAGCAACAGCTGGTCATCTCTTGAGCCTTAAAAAGGCTATCCTATATCACTACTAATTGTATTCTGCACTTTGGCAAAACCTGCTCCAGGACAAGAGCTACTCTTGGGGGAACTGAACATAGGAAGCCTGAAGTGCAGAGTGGTTTGCTCTGTGTCCCTATTACCTTGCCAAGAAATTGGTAGGTAGGTAGGACTGGGCATGTGGAAGCAGGTGGGGTGCACGTGCCATCACTTTTAAACACTTACTGAAGCACAGACCTTCAAATAATGAATCTAGCTCTGCAGTCCACATTCACATAAGCAGGTGCATTTTTATGAAAAGCATTTGCAAGATCAAGTCCTACATACTGGGTTGTG